AACTCCACAACATTAAAAGCACCATTAGGCTATTATTTATTTCACAAGGCCCAAAGAGGGTTTGCTTCCCTAATTCAGCGCAGTCTAGGGTTCTGTTAATTATTCACTCTACTTAGATTTTGATTTCAATGCCCCCATAGATTTAGGTCTGGGGTTGAGCCAATCAGGCACCCTAGGGTTGACCACCACGCCTTTCTTGATGATAGGGCTAGGTTCAGCATGTCATGTCCAGTTAGGGTTATGACCTTGTGAGCGCTGCATCATGTGGGGAGGAGGGTTATGCACGTCACGTCTGGGGGAGGGTTAGGGTTACACACGTCATATCCGGCACAGGCTGATGGAGTCACTTCCGGCGCGATCTGATGACGTCACTGATTAAACAAACAGATAAATCTCCGTTGAATTTAGTATACACTCTTACTACTAACCTTCTTCCATCATATGTGCAGGATGGATCTTTATTCTGCCTTCTTCCTTTTGCCTCTAATGTAACTATTTCTGTCCAGGTTTGACCTTAGTCAGGTTTGTTGAATTTGACTTTTATTCTGACAGTTTCCATACTGAAGCTTGCATTGCCTGTTTCTTTCCTAGTGTACCATCCAATAAAAGTATTAGCATTGGTTCCTGGAAGAGCACTACTATGCTTCTTTTAATTGTAATCTAGCCCTCCCTTTCCCTATACTGAGGCCCTTCCCTGATGAACTTGAATCTTTAATTCAGAGATGCCAGGCTTCTATGTGCATTGTCAAATCTATGATTATCTACCGAAGGTGCAATGTCGAAACAGGCTGAGTTTGCACAACCCACTAGACAAAATGTGGTTGACTAATCTGTGGATCTGTTGCATGAACCCAGACAATGGTGTTGATTCAGGGACCCATGGTTCAGTTAACCAGAGGTTAGTCTGTTGTATATTTCTATGACTAGTTCATGGTTCAGTGGGGAGCCAGCTTCTGTAAAAGAATTTAAATGTATGTCTACAGGGATCACTGCAGCCTCTCAATTTGGTGGTCTCTGGCTCATAAAAAAAAACATTATTATATAAAGCACTATGACTGTATATGTGCTTGATGTACATTAGTTGCATAGTGGTGCCTAATAATATGAAGACAATTCTCCACTGCCATTCACCTATTGTTGTCATCCATGCCTGATTCACATAAGTGTGTTAGGATACTACTGTACTCAGGTTTGATGGGAGTCAGCCACAGGCATTAGGGTAGAAGTGGTGGGGTCTCTGTGCCCTGGCATTTGCACTGCTATTTATTGTTTCTGTTTGGCCAAACTGTAATGTAATTACTCCATATTGTTACTGGCTGGTAACTGCTGTGGCAAGATAATAGAGCTGCCTTGCTGACTTTGAAACTGTAAAATTCTACAGAATTGGCATTATATTCCTATTGTTTGCAATATTTTTTTAAAAAGTATTTGGCACAATTTGCTGCTAGCAGAATTTGTCTGACATATTGGATCCCCTAAATAATGAGGGAAGGATTTCTCATATTTGGTAGCTTACAAATTAACTTGGTTGGAAAAATATCTATTTGGCATGTTAGAAAATGCAAATGAAACACTTTCCCTTTAAACCAGAAATAGGAAACATATAATTCAGTATATGTCTTTCAGCTCTTCAAGCGTTAAAAGAGACAGCTAGAGATAGCAATTTGTTATGGCGAGGTTACTGTATATGCAATTTTCCTTTGAGTGCCCTGATTATCCTATTAAATCAAGCAGAGAATCCTTTCATAATCTCCAGCACCACCAGTACCTCAGCAAACCATAAGAGGATTCTGTCCTATAACTTTCTCTCACCTAAATGCTACTTGTCCTGCAAGAGCTATATTTTAATAGGGCAGCTTGCATAAAGACTTTAAAAAAGCACAGGAATCTAGCACTAAGATGGGATTTTTTTCCTCCTTTAAGTTAGTTAATGTTTAAATTACAGGTGGGACCCACTCCACTTCTATAGAAGTGATTTGCCTCCTCAGCATCAATGTTTAACTTTCAAGTCAATGGTACTTGATATTCATTTCCATACAAGCTTTTGTTGGCCATATTCCCAATTTTATAACAATTTGTATTTTCTTTTACACCACAATTTTGATAGTTCTTCAGAAAGCTGCCTCTATCACCTGTTCCTACTGTCACTTCACACATCATGTTGAGCAATGGTTGGCTTAATGTTTCTATTAGGTTACATTGAGTTCATATTCTGCATTACACCATAAACCAGAAGCCCACAACCTGGGGCCCCAGAGCAACATAAGGCCCTGCAAAGACTTTGTTGCAGTCCCCAGAAATCTCCAAAAGTTGTTACTAAATTACCATTTTTAATATGACAGTGGAGGAAATGATTAACCACATGACTGGACCCAATATGCCACTCAAAAGCCCTTGGCTTCTTCCCTGTCATAGATCCTATAATAAAGCTTATTTGACACAACACACTAAGTCAAAACTTAACAAACTACATTGGGTCTTAGTGTATTTTATAAACCCTGGCTATATAAAATTCAGAATAAGTGATGTTTTCTTCAGAGCATTATAAAATTGTGTGTGTAAAACATCTTAAGAAAGAAACTGTGATTTACAAATCACAGCAGATGGCTTGGATGGCTCCAGTCAAGCCAGTCAAGACGGCTCCAGTTCAGCATGATGTATGAACCAGAATGCTATTGACAAATGCAATCCAAAGAGACAATAACAACAGTAAGCAATTGAGATTTTGTGCACAACCTATATATTAAAAGGATGCTGGATTGCCACGCAATGGATTCTTCAGTGGAACAAAAAATTTGCAAAAAACATGCAGTTAGTGATATTACAGAAAAGATTAGAAAAAGTAGGAGTGAAAAATGTAAAAAGCAGCAGCAATTAAAATTACATCTTTGTAATGAACTGGAGAAAAATTAACACAGGAGTCACTTGCTCACAGATAAAGAGGTAACTTACCAGTTTGATCTATTTACCTACTATTTGCACCATTCTCATACCTACTATTTGCACCATTTAACTACTATTTGCACCATTCTCATACAAGAGCATTAATTACTACAATTTCATAATATCTCACCTAAAAATAACAAAATTATGCTGCAGCAAAATGTTTTGGTGCAGCATATATTGTTTCTACAAATAATATTAAAAAGCATGCCTGAGTCTTGCCTGTCAATTGTATCACATATGAATGCCAATATGTGTAATTTAAATATATCCAACATGTAGAAAAGTACAAAAAATAAATAGTAATAAATCAGTAATAATTAAAAATGATTTTATATAGGGAATAGCAGCCCCGAGAAAGCACAGTAATATTGCATTACAGCATAAAGCAAACAAAATGGTCCTGTTCAGTGTGGGACCAGCACATGAACTAATAAGATAAAATAGCCCCCCTCCCTCACTCGCTCGCTCGCGCGCTCTCTCTCTCTCTCTCTCTATATATATATATATATATCATACAAGGACAGTTATCCCATAACATTATAAGCACAGAATTACGTCAGGGAAAGGAAACCCTCTATACAGTATAGGAGGAGAGCTGCGTTGGTCTATAGTGCCAAAAAATCAGAAGTCCGGTAGAACTTTTTCCGACTGTAATACAGTACATGTTCGTGAGCTACAACGTACGCCTTTCTGCGTGACGTTATCTTCTGCACAATTACCCACACTACAACTATAGAGCTGACCAGCTGTGCACAATAAAAAGTATATACTTATTTTCCTCCTTAACCAAGCGCTTTACCGCCTGAGATGCACGCGGTACCTTAAATGGATAAATCTCAAAGCCCAGATTTTCCAGGAGGTCTCGGATCCTCTTCTCCAGATGGACCACCTGTAACTCCATGGTGCTCGAACGCGACGTACTATGGGAAATGTAGTTTTCGCAGGGCGCAAAAGGCCGTCGCCCACATGGCCGGCGTGGCGAGAGGTATAAAGCGTTCGGGGGCAATACCGGCGATGCCTCCGTTGGCCTTCCTCCGATTGTCCCACGACAAGACAGTTCTTTGGTGTCCGCCTGGACATCCACGATTGCGGTCCTGCCAGCAGCGTTCCAGCACAGAGCAATCACAGGACGCGCGGACTTTCCCGTCCAGAAGCCTCCGCGGCGTAGCGGAAGGCGGAATCGGCCGGCCTCGGGCTCTTTGCAATCTGCGGAGGACGTGCTGAACCTCCCGCCGAGGCCCGGGCGCCGAGGATTTACGGGTTGCTTTCGCTCTTCGCTTGCTGGCGGTCCTCCAAGCGAATGTGAGCAGAACTGCCCTGAGCCTTGGTGGAGCGGCCCGGCCGCTGCCTCCTGCCTGGGTCGCTGCCTAAAAGTCTCCTGGAAGGTTCCGAGCCTCCCCGGATCGGTCAGGTGACCGGCTCGTTTCTTCCGTTGGCTGGGCGAAACGGCCGAGGGTGAGCGAGGCTGCTGGTGGGGGCGCTTTCCCCGAGCGCTTTCGGAAGCGAGGTTGGCCTGGGTCACGGACTGGGCCTGAGGCGGCCTAGCTGCGTAGTTTTTGGCGGAGAGTCGGTGGGTGCAATTCCCCCAGAGGCGGTCCGCATGAAGGAATGGGGGAAACCTCTGCCGCTCGTCACCCATTAGGGTTAGTTATTGGCACAACGGCCGCAGCTCTCCGCACTCCTTCCCTGCCGCTATTGGTTTAGAGGGAAAAGCAGGTGGAGTCAACCCGGTGGCGGGAAGGACAGACAAAGGATGGCTGCTGCTTCTGCGTGTGCTCTCAGCTTGCCCTCCCTGTCTGGTCTCCCAGCCCCAGGTAAGAGGATTCCCCAGAGCAGCAGGAGGGAGGAAGAGAGAAATGAGCGTCTCCTGCGGTCGTCGGTTCTTTCGGCAATCTTTCCCATTCCTTCTTGATGCCTCTCTCTTCCCTCCCTTCCAACTGACATGGGGAAGATAAGGTTTCTTCTTTTATGGTGCATCTTATCAGGAAAATACTCATTTGAAAAATCTCTGCACGTAAGCCACCATAAGGCACCAGTGCAGGGCCGTCCCAGAAGTGGCTCTGTGAACTAGATAAACCAGAGGCGTTATCGAAAGTTGGGTTCTGCCCTTCCCTGTGATAAGAATGTCTTTATTCTATATTGTAGAGTACTCAAAGATGTATTTGTTCCCCACTAACCAACACCAGAATTTCTCCTGGATGTAAAAAGAGGTAGCTTCGCCCAGTTGCTCTTAGAAAAGGAACCTGCTTGGATGGTTTTATCTTTTGATTAGATTGTTCTGAAGCATGCAGTTTAAAATCTGGGTCTGATTATGTGGTTAGAGAATGCTTGTGAGTCCCTTCCCCAACATGGAAGCGTCACCATAGTATTTCAGTCCACTTTATTGAAATGGATCACACTAACATTTTCTTGATATTTAGTTATGCTGCTCAGACTGCATCAATATCAATAACAGCTTTAAACTGTTTTCATCCATTGAACATTAAAGAGATACTTGTCACATATTACAAGTATTTTGCATAATTCTTAAGTACTCATAGTATGCTTAAGCTACTTTGCAGAAAATTTGTGGCAGATTTTATATGGAATGGCCTGCAATTTCAAGTCCCCACCTTGCAGTGGTGGTTTGTTTTTTCTGCTGTAATACATTGTACTGCAGATAACAGGAAAATAGACATTTTCTCTGACTGCTTTTGCAGGTATTTTTCTAGCCAAAGATTTCCCCAAGGTTATAAACTGGTAACCAGTGGATTTCTAAAAAGCATCTTTTCCTCAACAGCATGGATTGGGACACACGACTCAGTTCTATACTGATTGAAACAGACAGCAACATGGCCAAAATTAAGGCAAGTTAAGCTGCAGAGCAATATATTGTTTTTCTACTCAGTTGGTGAAAAGTATTTAGTGCTTAAGTATTCTGTGTACATATGTGCACATATATGCTGCTAAATATTATATTGATACATAAATACCTCAAGAGATGTATTCTGTTAAGTGAAAAGATGTTGGTAGTTTCCCCAGAAAAAACAACCTTCAGTAGCTTTTGCCTACCAAGCTTTTCAGTGTCGTTAAACAGCAGCTACCAGGCAGGTGAACAAGTTATAATAAATGACAAAATAAAAAGAGAAAGGATAAAGTGTTATTTAACTCAAGCTTGACTCCTGGAGACTTTGTGTGGACATGTATATACAGTTTCTTGACAATAGTACATAAGTGGTTTTTCATGCTTCTTCTGGGGTGTTTTTTCAACTTCCCAGACTAGTCCACAGTATGCATTCCCTGATAGTTTCCCATCCAAGTACTTGGCAGCACTGACCCTGCTTGCTCAACCAGATGTTGCCATCTGCATAGAGGTCATATTTCAATATTGACTAAAGGTGCCAGTATTTTAAATCTCAGTTCAAACAGTAGAGTGACGTTATGACAACATTTTGGACAAAGCACTAAACTCTGCATTGGGAATAGAAAATGTAACAGGTGCTGAATGCCTCTCCCTGACTTGTGGTTCCCATTAGATTTATATTGAATTAATTGTGTAGGCTCTAGAGATGTATCAAGATTTAACTTAAGCTACAGGCTTTGTTCAGTAAAACAGATGGGGAACATGCAGCCCTCTAGATGTTGGTGAATTACAGCTGTCATCAATGGTATGACAAATGCTAGGGGTGCTGATAAAGTAGTTTATCAATATCTGATCTGGGTTATCTCAGAAAAAGCTTCTTCCCTTATACCTGTTCGTATAGTTAGGGATTTACCAACAAACCCTACAACAGCTTACATCTAGTCTCCAGAAAAGAATATTCTTTGCAGAATGATAGAATTATGAAACACCTTGCCACTTAGGTACAGGGAGAGACTACCTTGCTTGCTTTTTGCCAAGTGTTTATTCTAAAAAGCCAAGATGTGGACAATGGACCTGGGCTGCTATTGTTGTAATGTTTTTTTCTTGTATCAGGGGTGCTACACATTTTGCATTGAATGTAGTGTAAAGCAGCTTGAATTTGGAAGTATGGTGAAGTAAGAAATGATTATATAATAGTGCTGTTCATTGACCTTCTCACTGGTGTGGATAAATGAAACATTGATTTCATTCAGATTGGCCCTATGTATTTTCCTACTATTAAAATGTTTAGTTCATAGGCTTGCATTAACTGTTTTAATGATGTTTAATCTACGATTTGATATATACTGCATTAATTATTTTATACACTACATTGGGATGGTAGCTATGATGCAATTTTGATTTTTTTTTGTAAATAAATAATGTTCCTTTGAACATGTAAATGAATGAATGTTGCTTTGGCTTATGTTACACTGATTGCATTTTCTCTTCCATTTCCATTTGTTTATATTACTATTGCATTCCAATTAAAGCAGTATAATAAGAAATGAAAACATTCTATCTTACACTTCTTGTTCAAGAGTTTTTACAAAACTTGTTAGTTCAGATTTGATACAGACTTGGCTGCATTTGCTTCATAATTGTTTCCAAATTGTGTTTTGACATATAACTTTCTATATCATTTTGGGTTGTTTTTCTTACAGCAACGTCTAAACACAGCCAGCATCTCTTCCGAAGGTAAGAATGGTTGACAGAACACCTCTTAGAAAATAGAGATCTATATAATTCCTTGAATTGCAAAAAATTTCCAGCAAGGGAAGTTAGATCTAGTGGTAGCTCTCTTCAGATTCAACTGAGTGTACATTCTCAAGCAAACAATAGATGGCTATGATTTCAGCACCCTACTTTAGTAGCATTACATC